TGCCACCATGCCCAGCTAATTTTTTGTTTCTGTTTTTAGTTACCCAGGTAATTTTTTCTATTTTTAGTAGAGACAGGGTCTCACTCTTGCTCAGGCTGGTCTCGAACTCCTGACTCAAGCGATCCTCCCGCCTCGGCCTCCCAGAGTGCTAGGATTGATTACAGGTGTGAGCCACTTCATCCAGCCTACGGTGCACTTTTAGATTGCATTTATCTCATGAGTAAAGTTGAACATCTTACCAGGACATTTGTTTAATGGTCATTTTTATATATCTTTTCATCAGTTGTTCAAGTCTTTTGCCCATTTTTCTATAGGCTCTTTGGTCCTGTATTTTCTTAATTTTTAAAAGCTCTTTATAAATTTTGTATATTACGTCTTTATCTGTCCTACGTGTTGTGAATATTTCCTCTCAGTTTGTCATTTGGGTTTTGACTTTTACCTTTGCTTCTAGCAGATTCTTCTTTGCCATGCAAAAGTGTTTTTATTTTATTGTCATGTAGTCAAATATTTTGATCTTTTATTGCCTCTGAATTTGGAGGCATAGTTTTTTTTAAAAAGCCCCTCTGCAGACATATCCCAAGCAATTGAGGTTTCCTGATCAGCCTGCGTCCTCCACTTCCCAGGAGAAAAGCCCTGGTTAGCTCAATTCAGACCACCTGTCATTTCTTAAACAACCCCCCCTCTGGGATTTGGCTCATTCAGCCATAGTTGAGGTGTCTTTCTCCTCACTGTTTATAAAAGACCACAATTTACAAGGAGGGAGAGGTGCGAGGTGTCCGGGGTGCTAGAGCAATCTTCCGAATCAGGTCGTTTAGGTCTTATTTAGGGACCAGATCCCAGAGAACAAGCTCAGAATCAGCCTTCAGACAAGAGACCTGTTCCTTCGACACGTGGCGCATCCCGGGTGAGACAGTGTGAGGCAGAGGTCTGTGCCCATCCTGTACTCTCCCACCGTTGGCCTCCTCCTGTCCTCGGCCCCCCAGCTGCGCTGGATGCAGAGTCTTGGTGGGCAATGAGCTGGGGCCAGGTCCAGCCTGGTCCCTGGAGAACAGGAATCCTGCTTTGGTCACCAGGTGTCGGGGAATGGAAGGGCGCTGAGTCAGATCCAGCCACCAGCTCTTATTCTTAGCCCAGCGCAGGGGCTTGAGCAAGTGCAGACAGAGCAGGTTGCTGAGCTGGGCTGTGGGCCTTTCCCAGCTTGCGGGAGATGGGGAGCTCGCCTTACCCAGATGGTGGGACATCCCAGGTACTTGGCCACCTGATTCTCATGTCCATCCCCCTTTTCACAACTTACACCAGGTCACCTGGCTCGGACCCAGCGTTGGGGGTAGGCACAGGCTGTGGGAACTGGTAGTTGGAGAAGGGTGGTGTGGCCCGGGGTCCCGGCCCGGGCTCTGACGGCACTGGCTCCTCCACAGTGAGGTCAGCCAGCGGCGACGGAGATGCCTTGTACGTCACGGAAGAGGAACTGGCTGGTGAAGAGGAGGACATGCCGACCTTCCCATGCACCCAGGAGGGTAAGGGCCCTGGGGGCTGCCCCGTCCCCTCTCTGGGCTGAGAGCTTCCTGTCCCTGTCCCCAGGCTGGTGACAGACGTGTCTCTCTCTTTGACCTCAAAATCCTGGCTGTCCTTTCCTCACTGCTTCCTGGAGAGTGAAAGGGCAGAGTACATGGCCCTGGGCTATGCATTCGGCGTAGGATCAAAATTTGTCCCAAGTGCCATCTGTCTCTGGGGCTCCTCCTGGGACCTATCAGGGACTCCTGCCACTTCCCCCATCCAGACACCCTGTCCCCGGGGCCTGTCTTCTAGCTGACCGAGAACTGTCCCCTCCATCATGTCCCAGGCCACCTGAACTGCTATTTGGAGTAGGGCCTCTCGTGGCTCCCAGCATAGATTTGGCTGTGTGTTGTAATCACCCAGGGATGCCTGGGACCCACCTCAGAAATCCGGATTTATTTGGTCTGGAGTGTGGATGGACACAGGGTTTGTAAGCGCTCCTGGTCCTCACACATGCCTCGGGAATCTCACGGCTGGGCCGCCACCGCGTTCCCGCTGGGCACCGGCCGCCCGCCAGAGCACCCAGGAACACCCAGCACCCTCCTTCCTCCACACCAGCACCCCCGCTGGTGGGCCGGGTTCGGTTTCCTGGAGAACCGCTGCTTATCACTAAGATTGGCGACCGGTGACCAACCCTCTGGTTTGCCCAGGACTGAGGGGTTTCCCAGGGTGTAGGACTTCCAGTTTTAAGAACTGAGATAGTCTCCACAAACCACCCTGGTTTGTGCCACACTGAGATGTTCCCGTGCCTGGAGACTCCAGGAACGGAGATGTTCCCGTGCTGGAACCTAGAGGGACCTGGGCAAGCAGGACGCGTTGGTCACCCAGCGGTGCAACAGGCTGGCTGTCCCTGTCATGGATCATCAGTAGGACCAGTGTCGGGGGAAGAGGGGCTGCCTCACCCTGTGGAATGAATGAGATGGCACAGAGAGGTGGACAGTAGTGACGGGGGTGTTCTTTGAAGACCCTGCTTGATCTCTATTCCAGAAAGTGCTAGCACCTAGAGAAAGGTGGTGAGTTAGGTAGAGGATGAGGGGTCGAGAACGACGCCCCTTCTGAGCCTGGTTTGAGACACGATGGGACCGGCCAGCGCAGGAACAGGGAGCCACCCTTCAGCTCCAGCCTGGGCCACTGGCCTGAGCCCCTGCCCTCCTTCTGTCCCCCACAGGCCGGCCAGGGCCCCGCTGCAGCCGCTGCCAGAGGAACCTGTCCTTATACACGTCGGTGCGGATCCTTTACCTCTTCCTGGCCCTGCTCCTGGTGGCTGTGGCCGTGCTGGCCTCTCTGGGTGAGTCCAGGGCTCGCCCACCCCGGGCTGCAGGGGACTGTCTGGTCAGCGCTCAGGCACCTAAAGCTTCCCTGCAAAGACAGACACTGGACATCTGTAGCCCAGGGCCCAGAACCGGCATCTTGCTGGCAGGGGGATCTTAATCCCCAATCCAGACTGCAAAGACTAGCTACGACTTAGCCGTGGGTCCTTGAGCAAGGCACCCCCTCAGGACCCCTGTTTTCCCATTGGTAAAACGAGACAACAGGACTAGATCAGTGGCTCTGTGTTTCAGCTCCCTGTTAGAGTCACCAGAAGCTTTAAAAAATACTGATGCCTGGGCCCCAGCCCAGATAGTAGAACTAATTCACTGTCTTTCAGCCTCCAGATGACTCTGTTGTACACCCAGGGTTAGGATCACTGGACCAGTAACTTCTAAGCCCCTCAGATGGTCCATGTGAACGTTTCTCAAAGTGAGGTTGGACAGCCACCTGCATCAATGTCACCTCCATCATTTATTGCGTGCAAATTCCTGGGTCCCACCCAGACCTGCTAAGTCGGAGTCCGGTGGCGAGGCCCAGGGAGTGTAGGTTTGGTTCTTCTCCTACGTACTACAGTTTGTATGACTGTAGTAGCTGCAGGTGACACAGCACACAGCCAGATTCTGGAAACTTCCACCTTCTGGATGCTAACGGATTATGGTAAACTGGTTGAAACAAATGTGGTGGCGTCTCACTGCAATCCCATTCCACCCTTGGCTTCGGACTTTGAAAATCCAGGCTTCAGTAGGTTTGTTCATGCTAATCTACTAGATATTAGAGACAAGGCCTGGAGTAGGGAGGGTAATCGAGTCATGGGGGGAGGCCCTGGCTCTCGGTGCCAACTCTGAGAGGGGCACCTGGCCCTGGCCCTGGTAGGAGGTGTTCAGCAACCAGCCTTCTTGGCTAGAAGGCAGAGGCCAGCATATTAGTGATTTAAATAGACACAAGTCATCTTCCAGTAAATCTGGAGGCGTTAATTAATCCAACATAAGCCACACACCTGCTGTTGGTAGTGGGAACACTAAGAACAAGATCGCACCATCAGAGGGAGTGGTTCTCCCCACTCATGAGGGCCTATTTAGAATCCCTTGGAGAACATTTAAAAATCCCAGTGCCAGCCCCCACTCCAGATGAATTAAGTCATAATTTCCAGGCAGGACCCAGGCCTTAATCTGTTATAAAAGATCCTCAGCTGAGTTCAATGTGTAGCCAGCTGTCAGAACCATGGATTCCAGAACTTCCCAAGCCCCTCACCCTATTCAGTTCCGCTTCTCTCTGCTGAATCCCCTCACCGGGTTTGGCCTTTCGGAAAGTAGCCAAAGTCCCAGGCCAGAGAAGGAGACGAGCCACAGATCAGAGGCAGCAAACTGGCTATCGGAGAACTTGCAAAGGTTCCTGTCAACCCTTTTAGGACCTCAGTGAGCAGCACGCCGGGGACCCGCAGCTATTAATAAAGCTCCCACAGCCGCAGGCTCGAGCCCAGAGTGGAGTGTAGGCACCAAAGCGTTTCAGAGGGGACAACAGAGTGCCAGGCGCTGTCATGTATGTGATGTCCATGAGTTCTCTCAACAGCCCTCAAATGGAGGGTTGGCCCATTCCTCATAGGAGGGAGCAGATCTGGGAAGGTGACATGATTTGCCCCAAGATCCAGAGAGAATAAGCAAAGCATCAGAAGAACTAGGGGTGAGCAGTGTGTGTTTGGAAAATCATGGGAGACTTTTGGCGTTTCCTTTCATGTTTCTGCCTCCAGTTTGGGTACGCCGAGACACTAGAACAGTGTTGGCACCATCCTGGCCTGATTGGTAGGTGCTCAGCATTTGTTGAATGAATGACCATAGATTTGTGAGCGTGTGCGCGTGTGTGTGCGTGCGTGTGCCTGCGTGTGAGAATAGTCCTGGTCAAGGCTTTACAACCAGGACTATGACCCAAGTCCATAGGTTTGGACAAAATCGGTCATCCATTTCTTAGTGTACACTGGAAACCCACTGTATTCGTGTAATCAAGTATTTTTTGCATGCATACCGTGGGCCAAGAGCTATATTAGACCCTGGGCAGTATACTGCTTGATAAAACTCAGACCCTGCCTTCGTGGAGTTTATAATCTAGAGCTGGATTTGGCAAATTTTTTATGTAAAGTGCTGGATAGTAAATGTTTTAGGCTTTGCAGGTCACGTATTACCTTTGTCACAACCAAACTCTGCCACTGCAGAGCAAAGCAGCCATAGGCAGTATGTAAATGAATGGGCGTGGCCATTCCAATGAAACAGGCAAGATTTGACGTGCAGGCCGTGATTTGCCGACCCCCACTCTAGCGCAGTAATCCATGAACTTTCTGGACTGCGCACCCCATCAGTAAATTGATTTTTAAAAATTAGTTGGATTGCTGGATGGATGAAAGAGATGGATGCATATAAAGTAATATAGCAAAATGCTAATTATAGAATCTAGGTGATAAGCACATAGGTCTTCACTGTACAAGTCTTTTGATTATTCTGTTTGAAAATATTTATAATTAAATGTTGGAAAAGAAAAAATTGATAGGCTCATACCTCTAAAAATACCTATTTATTTATAAATTATATATGCGTAGTCTTGACTATATTGTACATATTATAAAACACAATTTGAAAGATTGAGAAAAAATAAGATCTAAAAAGTAAGGAAAATGGCTAAACAAACAAATTAATATATAATGACCCATCGTGAAACGCGCAGTGAAGAAATGAACAGTGCGAATAAATTATATGGAGTGAGCCTTTGGCTCTTGGCTTGGAATTAGACTTAGTGAAGCATTAGAACAGAAATCCAAGTCATTCAGTCTCTCTACACCTCTGTTGCTCCCTCTCTATCTCAATTGGAGGGAGGCCCAAATGGAATAATAACTACCGTACACTGTAAAGAGCCAGTCTCTTGTAACAGCATATGATTGTTCTAGGCTCTCTCAACATGATGCTGTTACTAATTAGGTACATCTCTTGACAGCTCTGAGATGTACAATGTTCACTGGAGCCCAGAGATTCCAAATCATTTGAGAGAATAGAATTTTGGAGCTGATAAGAGCCTTAGACGTCTCTGGCTCCACATTTTCATTTGATGACTGATGAAATTGAGCTCCAGAAAGGTTAATGGACTTACCCAGAGTCACCAACAAATTTGAATATATAGGGTTCGCTTTCAGGCATCCACTGGGTGTCTTGGAACATATCCCACCCCCATCCCCTGCCCGCTCAAGGACAAGGGGACTTCTGGACATATCTCTGTAGCTGTAGATGAAGAATAGTTCTCATTGTAAACAAGACTAGAAGAAATAGTGAAGATACCGATGGCAGCAATTTCTGGGTGGTAGGATTAAGAATAATTTTTGTTTTCTGTTTTATATTTTTTTTCTGATTTTCACCTATTCTAACCTATGGTCAAGTCTTATTTCTAAATTTCTAAAATCTAGGGAGGGAAGTGGCTTACTATTTTTTTAAAGGGCCGTGTGTTGAACTCTGGCCAAAAGAAGCACCTTCCCCTCCCACTGTTGGAAAGCCTAGTAGGAGACGGGGGATGGTTTTGGTTGCAGAGGGGCTGATAAAAATGCCTTCTCAGCAAACGACTGTTGTTTCTCTGAACTAAGACCCGCCCCAGTCTCTCATCTGTTTCTCCCCTACAGTTTTCAGGAAGGTGGACGCTCTCTCGGAAGACATCTCCTTGGCCCAGTCCATGTATGACAAGAAGCTTGTGTCGATGCAGGAGAATCTCCAGGGACTGGGTAGGTGGGTGTGCTAGTGACTGTGGCGTAAGGCCAGTGTTAACCAGGATGGCGCGAGTGTGCCCTCCTGGTGCCATGGAGTAGGGCGGCCTTCGCCAGCCTTTCAGACACGAGAGAAGGAAGCTCTGGCTCCCTGCTTCCCTCTCCAGCCGGTGCACCTTCCATCAAAGAGGATGTTACCTTGGGACGTACCCAGGACTGGGGCCACGGGTTCTGTGTGGGGCACAGATCCTAGCCAGAGTCTATAGGCAGAGAAGGAAGCTAAATATAGTCCATCCCCAAATTATCTTCATGCATCTGAAATGATGAGTTTCAAGCCCTTCCGAAACCTCCTGACGGGTCAGCCCTTTCTTTCCTCATTGCTGCCTTAAGTCGTGTTCTTATCTCCTGCTTTACCAAGGAACACTCTAGGAGAGAATGGGACAGAGGAGCAGGAACAGAAGGGTTTAGAGGGGGTCTGCTCTGATGCGAATAGAATGTTCTGGTCTGGCACCAGCTGAGTGCTATTTGGCAATCCACTTCTCTGTGCCTCGCTCCTCATGCATTACAGGGTGAAGATCCCTGCACTGCAAGCTTATTGTGAGACGATAACAGATATAAAACTATTTGGAGAAATCTTACAATGAAGTTTAAATGGGAGGTTCTTGGCTGCCTCCGAAAAGTTAGGAAGGTATATTCTTGAGAATTTGGTGATGAAATGGAAAAAACATTCTAAATCCTCCGTTTCAGATCATAGTCAAGACATTTGCTAGCAATGAGATCCCATAGAGACAGCAAGGCTTTTCTGAGGATTTCCTAGCAGGACTTGGGGAAGCGAGCAGGGTTGGGAAGCCACTTGCCAATTCATTATGCTCTGAAATAGTTAATTTAAAGGAGAACCATTGTATTAATACCATGACCTTTCAACACCTCAAACTGTTGTCTCTTTCTCCTGAAGATCCAAAAGCCCTGAACAACTGCTCTTTCTGCCACGAAGCCAGGCAGCTGGGGCCAGAGATCCGAAAACTGCAGGAGGAGCTGGAGGGAATTCAGAAGATGCTTCTAGCCCAGGAGGTCCAGCTGGACCAGACCTCTCAGGCCCACGAACTGCTCTCCTCCACCAGCAGGCAAATCTCCCAGGAGATGGGCAGCTGCTCCTTCTCCGTCCACCAGGTCAACCAGTCTCTGGGCCTCTTCCTGACCCAGGTGAGAGGCTGGCAGGCCACCACCACCAGCCTGGACCTCTCTCTGAAGGACCTCACCCAGGAGTGCTACGACGTCAAGGCTGCGGTGCACCAGATCAACTTCACTGTGGGGCAGACTTCCGAGTGGATCCACGGCATCCAGCGGAAGACGGATGAGGAGACCTTGACCCTGCAGAAGATTGTCACCGACTGGCAGAACTACACCCGGCTCTTCAGCAGCCTGCGTGCCACCTCCACCAAGACCGGGGAAGTGGTCAAGAACATCCAAGCCACCCTGGGGGCCTCGTCTCAACGCATCAGCCAGAATTCCGAGAGCATGCACGACCTGGTGCTGCAGGTCATGGGCTTGCAGCTGCAGCTGGATAACATCTCGTCCTTCCTGGACGACCATGAGGAGAACATGCACGATCTCCAGTACCACACCCGCTACGCCCAGAACCGCACCGTGGAGAGGTTCGAGTCGCTGGAAGGACGCATGGCGTCTCACGAGATCGAGATTGGCACCATCTTCACCAACATCAATGCCACCGACAACCACGTGCACAGCATGCTCAAGTACCTCAACGACGTGCGGCTCTCCTGCACGCTGGGCTTCCACAGCCACGCCGAGGAGCTCTACTACCTGAACAAGTCGGTCTCCCTCATGCTGGGCACCACGGATCTGCTCCGGGAGCGCTTCGGCCTGCTCAGCGCCCGGCTGGACTTCAACGTCCGGAACCTGTCCATGATCGTGGAGGAGATGAAGGCCGTGGACATGCAGCACGGAGAAATCCTCCGCAACGTCACCATCCTCCGAGGTAAGAGCCGGATCCAGGTAGGGCTGCCATGGAGCTGCCGGGGGGTGGGCCTTGGCGATCTTGCCAGACACAGAAGTACCTGGTTTTAGGCCAAATGCTAGTGGGCCAATGCAATCCTCTAGCAAATGCCTAGAGCAACAGGCAGCTTTAAGAAATGTCCTTGCAAACCTTTTTTGTCTCAAACTCCTGACCTCAAGCGATCCTCCCGCCTCAGCCTCCAAGAGTGTTAAGATTATAGTGTGAGCCACTGCGCCTGGTCTTTTTTTTGAGTCAGACTCTCACTCTGTTGCCGGGGCTAGAGTGTCATGTCATCAGCCTAGCTCACAGCAACCTCAAACTCCTGGGCTCAAGTGAGCCTCCTAACTCAGCCTCCCAAGTAGCTGGGACTACAGGTGTGTACCACCATGCCTGGCTAATTTTTTCTATTTTTAGTTGCCTGGCTAATTTTTTTTCTTCTATTTTTTTAGTAGAGATGGGATTTCCCTCTTGCTCAGGCTGGTGTCAAACTCCTGACCTCAAGCGATCCTCCCAACTCGGCCTCCCAGAGTGCTGGGATTACAGGTGTGAACCACCGCATCTGGCCCAGAAAGATGTTTTGGTCCTTTCTCCAACAGCTCTGTTTGTCTCTGGGGGAGGTTTAGTCTTATAAACTAGTCCCAGGCCAGTATTCTCATCGAGCAGAGGGAGCCTGAGGCCCAGTCACCCAATTTGCTAATACCAGGGCTGGGACTTAAACTTGGGGTGCCTGATGTCCAGGCCAGCATGCCTGCCATGGCCAGTCCCCCAAGAGGTGTCCCTTCTGGTTTATTTCTTTCTGCCTTATAAGCTGGCTGGTGGCTTCTGGCCATGAGATGTGCAGGCTTCTCCCGCCATGCACCACCGAGCCCATGAGTGGGTGGTACTGGTGCCTGAGACACTGGGTACTCTGCCCACCCCACGTCCCCTCCCTGCCTAAATGCAGACAACAGAGGAGGTCACCCCACGGGTCCCAGACATGTAGTCAGCTGTGGCTGGACACTAATGGGCCTGGAGAGCCTGATTACAGCCTGTGGCTTCCTGAGTAATCACGGGTTCCCCGGACTCCAGGGTGCACTGGGCCTTCTCCCAGCCCCGCTGCTCGAGCATCCTCCTTGGCCCGAGGCATCTCTCCTCTGCCCAGAGTGGCCGCCAGCCCTCCCTCCTCTCTGCCCTTCACTTCTGCCGATGTTTCTGGCTGGGTCAGGGCACGCTGTCCTGGAGAGAGCCTTGGTCATCTCCACCCACATTCCTTCCCCCCACGCTGACCACTGAACTACGGTTGTTGACGTCCTCCCTGGCCAGACCAGGCCGTGCCCAGTTCTCCCGCCGACCGCATGACTCATGGCTGGCCACAGGGGCCAGGGGCTCTGCTCACCTGAGGAAGACAGTCTGCCCGAGTCCCCTTCTGCTCCGCAGGGGCCCCCAGTGCTCTTCAGAGAGGGCTCTGGGGCCTCCTCCAGGAGGTACCAGGACCAGAGGCCCCGACCATGAGACACCGGGAGAGGCCCAGGAGCCCCCGCCGTGGTGTGATCAGAAGCAGACGCAGTGGCATGGGGGCAGGAGCATGGGTCTCAGAGCCTCTTGGCCTGGTTTGGGACCCTGCCTGCACCACGATTCTCATCTGTGAAGTAAGGCCACAACCTCCTCCCAGGGACATAGCAGACACTCAGTGGATGAATGTTGACAACTGTTGACAAATGCTCTCATGGTCCCTCCCTTCTCCCCCCGCTGTGGGAGATTCAAGAACGCAGGCCACAGAAGTTCGTGAGTGGGCCAGAGCTGTCTATTGTGGGGCCACCCGGACACCCAGCACGGTGCGGGCTCTGTCAGCTGGCCTCTGACGTGGGCGGCGAGGGCCGTGTCTGTCCGCAGCACAGGCCCCGTCAGTAGCCCACACGGAGGCCCGTGAGCTGCAGATAGGCCCGATGACGCCATCCACCAATCTCATGGCTGCTGCCTGGGACACATGTCCCCAGCAATGCTGCCCCCGTCTGTGTTCTCAGAGATGGGGGTCAGCAGTGGCAGCTGTGGCCAGGGTTTGGGAGGGGGGAGTGGACGTGCAGAGGGAGGGGGCCCTTCTCCTTCATCCTCCCCCTCCTCTCTCGGGGCTGCAGCCCCTGGGCAATGAAGTGGATGGCGTGGTCGAGGCTTCTGCACCAGCGTCCACCAGGAACATGTGGGCGCTGGGTCTCCCACCCAGAGAAAGATGCCCAAAGCTTCCCCAGAAAAAGGGGCGCCTATATCTCTGCCTTTCTACTCGGCTGCTGGCATGGAAACCCTTAGAAATCCCCATAGCGGCTGCAGTGCTCCTCAGGGCTGGGAAGAGAGGTCACTCTGGGGGTCCCAGGGAGAAAGTGAGGGGGCTTCAACTGGGCCTGGGGCGGGGCAGGCATCTTTGTCCAGACAAGACTTGCCAGGCTTTCCGGGTGGAGGCTGGAGGTGGGGACTGTGCACTCGTCCACCCAGAGGCGAGAGTGGGGAGAGCGAAGGACCAGGGAGCTGGGTGCACCCCGGGGAACATCCGGCTGGAAAACACAAATGCAGCTGAGGTCCCAGAGCTGCAGGGGCCCTTGGAAACCAAAAGCTACTGTCACTGCTGTGAGGACTCTGAGTTCCGGGTCAGGGCGAGGGGCCTGCCCAGCAGTGCCACGCAGCCTCACGGGGCCTCTCCCCCTCTGTGCAATTCTCTGCTTTTCCAAACTTCGGCTGGCCCAGGCGCCAGGAGCAGAGGTAGGGTGAAGACAGACGCTGTGGCTTTGCCAGGTCCAGCAGGTCTTGCCAGCGGGGCAGGCGCCTTCTGCGTGGGCATCGGCCTACGCTGCGTTACTCTGCCTGCCCAGCTCCGGGCGCTTGCTGCGGACCAGAGGGCAGCTCCCGCTTCCCGGCTTCTCCGAGGCCATTGCCGCTGGCCACCCCTCGCCCCAGCCAACCCACCAACAGAACCTGAGGCCCTGGTGCTGGCACACCGTGTGAGCCCATGCAGGGCCACTGCCCATGGCAGGAGGTGGGCATGGCCGGGAACCGCCTGGAAGGTTTTTATTGGCTCTGGTGGGGCTCTGTCTGGGCTCTGCTTTCCAGTTTAGGTCATGATAGAGGACAGTATTTGTTGACACTGTTCCACTTACAAACACTCCAGGAGGAGACAGACGGGACAGCAGAGGGTGGGCGGCACAGGGCAGGGAGGGCTCAGGCTGCATCAGCCAGGATGAAGGGCCCAGTGTCACAGAACTGAATTACAGCACCTCAGGGGGCTCCTGGCTCCCAGCACACAGAGCCCCTCACCCCAGGGGCCCACCTGGGTTCTGATTTCCACCCAGGAAGGCGCGAGGCTATCACTTCAGCTTTAGCGGTTCCTCTGTGAAATGCAAGAATTAGACGAGGTCCCACCGAGCTCAAAAACTCTTGGATTCGATTGCAAAGGGGCTGATTAAACAGCAGAGTTCTCGGGAGACCTGGCCTGGGCACTAGAATTCATCTTTCAGGCCAGCCCTGGCACGCTCAGCTCCCGCCAGCCCCACCTACTCATCCCTTGCCCAGGCCACCTTAGAAAGCCAGGTCCACCCTGTGCCTTGTCCCCGTGATGGCTAAAGCTGTTGTTTTCCACCACTGCCGTCCCCATGGGGCCGGCCAACTCTCTTTCCTGTGTGGTCCCGAGGTGTTCTGACATACCTGGGCAGTGACGGCCACTTTCCGCTGTGTCCTCTGGGTTGGCACAACTCTGAGAGGTGGAGACCCTCAGACCTACGCAGCCAGAGGACGTGAGGGCATCCGGCCCCTGGCATGGGCACGAGGCAGGGCTCCTCGAGGAAGGGCCGTATCTTCATCTCGGCATCTCCCCCAGGTGCTTGTCCGGAGCCGGGCCCATAGCGGGTGACACTGCTTGGTGATCACCCTCTGCAAGCACATGCTGAGCTCCCAGCTGCGTGCCGGCTCTGTGCCCTCACCGTCTTCCTGGAGCTCCCCCGTCTACTAGATAGGCACCTACTGTTTGCTTTCACCGTGCTGTGACTTCTCTTTCTGTATGTCAACTAAAAGACTCAGAAATTATTATAATAGCCTTAAGAGCCCAGAGAAGAGGCCGGAGTGGTCAGGGGAGGGTTCCTGGGGGGATAATCTTTCTCTGGGCTGTCACTGTGCAGACTGCTCACACTGGGAGGTGCCTGCCTGCTTCTCGTGCCTTGCCTTTTGGTTTTCTCCTCCATGCCCCCTGACTCCACCCCTGTTCCCAGATGCCCGGGAGGTCACCAGGGTGGGCTGCGGGCGAGTACAGTGGTCAAAGGCCACGAGGAGGTGTAGGAGGCCGGCCTCGAGGGCAGGACAGACAATTCTGGACAACCTTGGCCTTTTCCTGGAAGGATCCAGCTCTCTGGGTCCCCAACTTGAGTGCATGTCTGCAGCTATGGACAACTCTCAAAGTCCAAATAATGCAGATCTGCCAGGCACAGGCCTCATGCTGGACACGGACACATGTTGTCGCACAGAATCTGCTGCTCTTATCCCCAAACAGTGAGGCAGGCTCAGGAAACGCGGCAGTTGCCTACACTCCCCGAGCCCAGAGGCGTGGACCTGGGCTTGTCTTCCGTCTGGCCCTCTGTCCGTGCACGAGCCTTGGGCGGCCAGCCCCTCCCAGACTGACCTCTCCCCTCTTCTCTCCAATCCCAGGTGCCCCCGGCCCTCCAGGACCAAGAGGAGTCAAAGGAGATGTGGGCGTGAAAGGGCCTGCTGGCAGCCGAGGACCCAAAGGAGACCTGGGCAGCTTGGGTCCCCCGGGACCCCAGGGCCCTCAGGGGCATCCCGGAGAGGCCGGACCTGTGGGAGAAAGGGGGCCGGTTGGCCCTCGGGGGTTCCCAGGCCTCAAAGGCTTAAAGGGCAGCTTTGGAAATGGAGGGCCAAGGGGACAGCCAGGCCCCAAAGGGGATGTGGGGCCCCCAGGGCCAGAGGGGCCCCCCGGGTCTCCAGGGCCAGAGGGGCCTCAGGGAAAACCAGGGATCGCAGGGAAGACAGGGTCTCCAGGCCAGCGGGGGGCCATCGGCCCTAAGGGTGAACCAGGGATCCAGGGGCCCCCTGGCCTCCCTGGACCCCCAGGCCCACCAGGAAGCCAGAGCTCCTACTGAGGAGGGTCCCCGGCCCAGACACTGCCACACAGAATGCCAAAGGGGGCCCAGGGCAGCTGGAGCCCTGCAGAAAGCCTCTCCTACAGACAGTTGTGATCCTTCGATTCTCAGGAGGGGCCCCCAGGGCTGACCCTGCAGCTGTGGGCTCCCCCTTAGTGACTGTACCATAGGAAAGCAGCCCCCTCCACACACACGCGCACACACACACGCACACGCACACTGCCTTGCTGGCTGGGGGCTGACTGGGCTCCCCTGGCTGAGCAGGAGGAGAAGGGCCCCCTCTCCTGTGACTGAGCCTGCTGGGGAGGTGGCTACCTCGGGAGGAATGTCTTGGGTCTGTCTCTGAAAGTGACCAACTCTGGTCTTCCAGCGTTGTCACACCCACGCCGGCCAGCAGTGTCCTGGGGCTCCCCGTGGTTGAAAAGGCCCAAGGAGACCTTTGCAGGGTGTCATGGTCAAAACTCCAGAGACAAGGTGGATCTGGCAACCTCACGACCCTCCCCATAACCGTGGAGACAGAGTCCTCGGGGAGCTGCCCCCGCCTCCCACAGGCCAGTGGGGCCACCAGGGCCAGCATTCTCAGGCCCTGCACACTGTGTGCCTGAGAAGTGCAACATGTTCTTTTCACGTGTCCAGAAAATTCCTCTTTTCATCCTCGCCTCTGCCCCTCAGGAATGGTCTGGACGGAATCCAAGCAGGAGTTTTATCAGCACGGGGAGACGCTGCAGGCCTTGGAACATCCTGCCTGCATGGTCCCCAGCATGCAGGGAGCCCCAGGAGCTAAAGGCGGAGGCAGAGGCGGGCAAGAAGGTTCTCTCTGCACAGCTGCCTCCCTTGCTGCCCTACCCCCGCCTGGCCTGCCCCGTTCCCCAAGGGGGCTTCTCTGGGGTGGCCGAGGAAGACCAGGCCACAGGAGGGCTGACCCCTGGGAACAGGACGACTCTCCCTGCCCACGGCAGCATGCTGACCTCGTCCACCAGGACCCAGAATGGCCCAAACTGTCTCTGCATGAGCAGCCGGCTGGACTCGGAGTGGGAGGGGCCTGGACGCCCACGAGAGGCCCCTGCTGCCGTCACCCCTTGGCCTGGCCAACTTCCTATGCACATGGGCAGAAAGGGGCGCTGGGAAGTCACCCTGCAGGCTGGAGGTCTCCCACTGGCTACACTCGCTGTAACCCGCCTGCCTTTAGATTCAGACCAGCCTTGGGTGGGGGCCTGGCGCTGTCTCCTCCCCTCCACGGACTCAGAGACCAGCCCTTCCCCGCTCAAAGCCTTTCTGTCCCCTTCCTTACTGTCCTGGATGTGCAACTGGTTTGCACTGCCCGCTCGCCCCACGGCCGTGTAACTCCCGTCCACATACGATATCATGCAACATAGTATTGCTGACTCAGTAAAGATCTGTTTCCAGGACAGAGTGTCTTCTAGTCCTTTCTGTTTAACCTGGGTCCTGCTTCACGTTGGCCTCTGAAGGGAAACCCGTGACAAAGGTCCCCTAGAAATTCAGTCCCACTGTAGAGTCGGGTCTAACACCCTGGCCTCTCATTGCAGAAACACTGAGCTCTGCCAGGAGCTCACAGTGGCCTGTGGGGCCAGGGACAAAGAGTGTCTGCAGGAACCACTCCTAGATAGCGAGTGGAGCCACGCAGGAAACTGAGCTCCATGGGCCTGGCAGCGTGGCCCTCGGGCTCATTAGCTAAAACAAGATTGGAAAATAGGGCAGGCCTGGACACTTGCGTGGTACCTCCTGCCTCCCACCTTTGTCTCTGAGACAAGGAGACAGCAGAAGAGGAGGCAGAGACCAGGCCACACCTGCCCCAGGGGGCCTGGCCCAGTGGGATCCGCAAGAGGTGGAGGACGGCTGGGTCCCCTGCGAGTTAGCCAGGGCCTGCTCCAGGAGGACATTCAAGGCACAGCAACCTCGTTTGCCGTAAAACACGGCCTAGTGCAAGCCCTAGGGCCGTGTTCTGCGTTTTTGAGGGGGAGGGGAGGAGTGCTCGGTCAAGGGCGTGAGCAAAGGGGTGGCAGAATGGGGGTGGGGCCAAGCGGAGCCGCTACTTGTCATAACTAGACCTAGCCCACCAATCCCATTTCCTAGGAGAGCAATCTGATCGTGACCCCTCGGGGCAGGGGTCTAGCCTAGTCCAGTGAGCTGTGACCATGAAGGGAGAAGGAGGGAAAACTTAGAGACACAGGAGCAAGACTGACTACGGGCAAAGCTGGCGGTGAATCTGTGGCGGGCCTGGCACGCTGCATTCCTCGGTCCTGCAGTTCTAACCAAGTGCTCTTTCTCCTGGCCTGCTCGGTTGCTTTTCTGGAACTTGCCAGGGCCAAGGCAATGAAGTCTGAACCCACAGTGAGTGGTGATAGCCCATGGAACTTCAGTCACTGGATTAGAAGCATGGCCCTTGCCATTGGGTGGTTTTAATCCCCACCAGATTTGCAAAGCCCTGAAGTTGCTCCTGGGCCTCCTTCTAAGGAGAACAAGGGACTTCCTGGATTCTGTAGGCCTGGCCCACGTCCTTCGAGCACCTCTAAAAACCCTGGGCACCCCAGGCTGGCCCATTCACTCTACCCCAGCAACCTCGCCAAGTCTCCAGCTGGGGCAGGACAGGGGGCCGGGCAAAGCTCCTGCCCTTCCTCAGCTCCTGTGCCTTGGCCAGGGCCAAGCTGGCAACTTCTGCTGCACCAGCCCCGGATACATCTGTCAAAACAGAGCCACAGGGGAGATCAGGGAGCTGAAAAACATGGTTTGACCACACTGAACTTTCCAGCAGGGCTGGGCTGGCAAGCCTCAACCTGCAGGAGCACAGGTCATTCACTGTCCCTGCCTTCACCCATCCTGTCCTTTTGTTTTCTTTTAAACACTTCCAAGTTCAAGGCTCTGTGCTTGATGTGGCAGGAGGTGAGCAAAGGCTGGCCCAGTGCTTCTTGCCAGGGACCACCTACTACGGGAACAAGCATGCAGGAGCCCATAAAAATGCAGATTACAGGCCTGCACCCCAGAACCCCTGATTCATAGTCACAGAGGTGGGAGGGCTGGGGGAGGGAAGGAATGTGCACTTACCCAAGTTCCCCAGGGATTCTGACGCCACATATAAAATGTGAGAACCACAGATGTAGGAGATAAAGAAAGAAAAATATATTTTTTTTTTATTTACACATACAGGCAAAGTGCATTTGCATTTTATAGGTCAGAAAACAAAGCTCAGGAAAGCTAATGAATTTGCTCAAGACCACGTAGATTTCAGTGGATTTGAACCTGGGATTTATGGAAGCTGCTAGACTGAGCTGAATGGTGGGATTGGAAATTAGATGAGGAAGCTGAGGTGCACAGAAATGGACTTGCTCAAGGTCCCAGAGCAAGCCACTGGCAAAGCTGTGACAAGGCCTCAAATCAAGGGCTGCTGGGTTCCCCGTTCCAGCTGCCCTGTCTCTAAGTACCGCCAGTAAGAGCAGTGCGGGAGTCAACAACAATAGAGTGCTTCTCGCTGGGACAGCTGGAAGCTTCTCACCGGAAGCCAGGTACTAACCCTTAGCCAGGCCATGGGGGCCCAACAAAGACCTCTGGGGTGAGGAGCAAACTATTAAATATTAGAATTTTTTCTTATCGTGTTTCATCTGTTCTAGGTTGCATTTTGTTCACATAATCGGATCTGACATGAAATCAACCAAAAAGTCTGGGGTGACCAAGAATATGATTTGCAAATGAATCTCTATTTACTACCCTTAATGGTAAATGTCGCCCCAAGTGGAAATTATGCCTTGGGACATTAGCCAGTACTAGTCAATGAAAATAATTTATAAATAAATCAATTTACATACACTAGGAGGATGAGCAAAAATTGTTTTACTAACGGGGGACATGAGCAAAATATTTGAACACCACTGCACGAAGCCAACTCTGTTGCTTCCAACATTCCCCCCTGTGATAAAACAGAGCTCCCCCTTTTAAAGAAAAGGAAGAAACAGCATCATCTCCTTCTGATGATTTTACCCAGATTTGTAATCTGATAGTTCCTTCCCCTTCAAAACTCCCAGACCCTCTAAATATCCCAGACAAACCTGTTGCCTAAGTTTGCAACTTGGAACTCGCTTGTCCCCATCATCCATCATTGTCATGATTTCAGCATCACGGGCCTCCCTTCCTCCAGACACAGAAACATCGGAGACCTTACTAGGCAGTGTGCGATCCCGCTGAATCTGTTCATTCATTCAACAGATACTGAGCTGCAAGAGGCTGCCACAAACATACAGAAAAGGATAGTTCCAGATTCACGCTGGCTTCCTGCCCGGGCCACTTTCCACACTACCGTACAGAGAAGCGGAACCCAAACAGGGAACAGCGGTCCCATGGGTGGAAGAAACAGAGATTGGAGTTTGGGGCTGCCAAGGCAACTGGAATTGGATACTGGACAGGGGACTGGGCAGGAGGGAGCTGTGCAGAGGAGCTCAGCTATCTGCACAGACTTGCCGCTGAGTTGTCGGCTTGAATGTGCAGCGGGGGGGATCTGTGCGCTGACTGGAGATGCTAAAGGTGTCCAGTGGTGGGAGATTTTGGAGGTCTGACCGGCTGGACAAAGCCAAAAAACAACATCCCTCTGCCAATAATTGATAGAATAAGTAAACAGAAAAGCAGTAAGGATACGGAAGTCTCGAACATTACTATCAACCCATGTGACCTAACTGGTGAATTCTGCCAAACATTTAAGGAAGAAATAATACAAATTATACAAAAATTATTTCAGAAAATAGAAGGGAAAGGAATGCTTTCCAACTCGTTCTAGGTCCAGCACTACCTGGGGGCCTGTGGGGCCCCTAAACGTGGAAATATAGGAGAATCTTGAGTCCCTTCATGGGAAGTTCTGGGCCTTGGCTGGCCTTGAAAAGTGAGTGGGCAACCTGGTGACAACAGTGGCCCTCCCAGGGAGCCAGAGTCTCAAGGTGTTTGGGTCCCTAGGGAAACTCAGAGATGGCATCTTACCATAGGTTCTGGAATTGTTTTTTAGAAACCCCCACAAGATGGAAAATGTAGAGAAGGGGGAATTGAGGAATTAAACTCTGTCTGCCATTTGCTCTAAATTTCCCCCTGAGGGGCCCATCACAGCCATCTTACCATTCCTTTCTGCTAATCCAAGAATCTCTGAAGCCACCTATGACCCACAGGGCCCCCCAACTTCAGGATATCCCACTTTTTGGGGCCAGGCTAACGTACAACCTCCATGTATTTATGGATTTACAATATTATTTTCCTGAGATGTACTCCTGCCTTTATAAGCCCTGGCTTGCAAGCCGTCAGAGAGTTTGGGTCCAAAACATCAGCTGCTGTACCCCCCGCATGGTGCTGTGCAATAAGGAGGCCTCTCTCTCCTGCTGCAGTTCTCAGCTTCGATGTCCGGCTTTGCTGTCCCAGGGGAGTGGCCCCCAGTTTGGTTTGGTAACACTGGTGGGAATGTAAAATGATACAACCACTTTGGGAAATAGTTTGGTAGTGTCAGCGGTAAAGGGCCCGAACTCTGTAAAATAATTTAAAGAGGTTTATTCAGAACTGAATATGTGCAATGGTGGCCTGGAAAGCCACACCCAAGAAGCCTTGAGCAAGTGGACTCACCGTGGTCGGGAAGGCAGGACACCCCAAGCGAGGAATTACAGGTTATAGGCGGGTTTAAAGATTCTTTGATTTGTAATTGGTTAAAGAAAAGAAGCTTTGTTTAAAGGTTTGGAATGTTTTAAATTAAGATAAGGAAGTCTGTTAGTCAGAGACAAGCCATGGGACAGATACATACACTCAAGTAATCTGTTAAGTACATTGATGACCTGCAGGTGTGGTTTAAGCTTGTCTTGCGTAGTCTTAGGCCTGCTAATGAGTTACAAAGGACATCCCCAAGAAGGCAGGGGGCATGATGAGGCATGTCTCTGACCTCCCTTCTCATGTCCAGCAACTCAGCTTTAAGGTAACTCTGGGGTTCCCTTGGCCCCTTCAGTCAGCTGGGGGGCTTAAGATTTTATTTTAGTTCACAGTAATTTCTCAGAAAGTTAAACATACACCTCCCACACGGTCCAGTCATTCCACTCCTAGAATCTACCCAGGAGAAATAACAACATATATCCAAAATTACTCGTGTAAGAATATTCACAGAAGATTGTGAATAATTAGTCACAATTAGCCAAAAACTGAAAACCAACCAAATGTCCATCATCAGGAAAATGGATAAACAAGTTGTAGTACATCCATACAATGGAATAGCACTCAGAAATAAAAGGAATAATTTATGCTAGACACAAAACTATGGATGAATCTCAAAAAAATTATGCTGACTGAAAGATGCCATGCAAAAAAGGGTACATAGTGTGCGATTCCATGTATGCAAAATTCTAGAACAGGCAAAAGCAACCTAGAGTGG